TGCCATTTGAGGTTATGCAGAGTGACTCTACGAAATACAAGTAAATTAACACTAATAAAACAAGATTATCGTCGAAATGGCAAAGCAAGCAAAGGTAGAAGATATTATGATACCGATATTTGATAGGACAAATTATTCAAACTATAAATTAAGGCTGACAACTTTGTTACAATATAAAGAATGCCACGAGGCCTTAAAAAACGAAGACAAAGAAACGGGATCAAAGAAAGACTTAAAAGCGAGGACTATAATAATGAGTACAATTACAGATAAACAACTGGAATATGTGAGTGAATGCAAAACAGCTTATGAAATGATAAAGAAATTTGACAAGATGTATACAACACAGTCTACCGCTATGCAAATTATCTGTAGAGGAAAAATTGAAGAGATAAGATTAAAAAATTACAGTACTATTGAAGATTTGTTTGTTTGAATTTGAGAAAACTACTAATGAATTTAAATTGGCCGGAGGAAAATTAAATGAACAAGAAAAGTTAAGATACCTACTCAGAGCACTTCCACCAAGTTATAGTTATATTGGAGATTTCCTAGATATTATTCCCGAGGAACAAAGGACCGTCAATTATGTATGTTCAAAAATTAAAGAAAAAAATATGGCCACTAGCAATTCAGACAATAAAAACAATGTGAGTACATTTACAACCAAAACTATAGCTCAATGCTTTATCTGTGGAAAAGCTGGACATCTTCAGAGGGAATGCTGGCATGCTCAAAGATATAACCAAGGACAACAAAGTGTTAAAGGTCAGCAAGGACTACAGCGAGGTAACAACAGAGGTGTATTCTTCAGAGGTCATAATCAAGGCAGAGGTCAATTCTTCAATCAATTTAGAAGCCAAAATCATTTTAGAGTTCAAAATCATTTCAGAGGTCAAAATCATTCCAGAGGTCAAAATCATTTCAGAGGTCAAAATCAGTTTAGAGGTCAAGGTCAGTTCATGGGTGAATCTTCAAACAACTTACCATCGGAGTCATGGACAGCTGAGGTATGTAATAATCCAGAGATAAATCATTTACAAGGGTGTATTCAAACTCGAGAGTGTCGGTGGCTCAGTGGTTTAAGCACTTGACTTGTAATCTAGAGGTCTTGGGTTCGAATCCCGCCGCCATGTACCAATGTGATTTTCGATTTTTCGAATCTTCATATGTATATAATTTACCCGACGTTCTTACGGTGAAGGAAAACATCGTGATGCAACCTGCATATATCGGCAAAGAAATTCAAAGATATGTGTGAAGTCAACCAACCCACACTTGGCCAGCGTGGTTGACTATGGCCTAGTCACTCTAACTTTAGGGTAGGCTCCGAGCCCCTCGGTGGGGACATATAGTGAGCTGGTGATGATGATGATGATTCAAACAGAGGAATGTAATGTTATGGTGGAGAAAAGTACTTTCTCACATTTATTGATGATTATAGAAAATGCACTAGGATATTTTGTATTAAAAGTAAAACTGAGGTTGCCAATTGTTTTATGGAATTTGTAAATTTAGTAGAAAATAAATTTAACAAAAGGGTTAAGAAAATTCAGTGTGATAATGGTAAAGAATACATGAATAAGGATATTTACAATTTTATTAGGCAAAAAGGTATAGAGTTATTATCATGTCCACCCTACGTCCATGAATTGAATGGAGTAGCGGAAAGATATAATAGATCTGCTATGGATATAGGTAGGTGTTTAATGAGAGAAGCAAAAATTCACAGAAGGTATTGGCCTGAAATTATAAAGACAGTAGCATACTTAAAAAATCGAACAATTGCAAATACAGTAGAAAATAAAACTCCTTATGAGATATTTTTTAAAATAAAACCAAATGTTGAACATTTAAAAATTCATGGAAGTAGAGTTTATGTCAGGATTCCTGAAGTTTTAAGAAAAAGTAAATGGGATGATAAAGCACAATTAGGAGTTTTAGTGGGTTATAATGAAAATAGTTATCGAGTTCTATTAAATAATAGGATAGTTAATGCTAGACATGTACAGGTAGTTGAAGAAAATACTGAATTAATATGCTTAGAAAAACCAGATTAGCAGACGGACAAATGTTATGAAATCGAACAAACTACAAGTGATAAAGTTCAAACTAATTATGAAAGTGATGAAAGTTTTGTAAATGCAGATGAGACTAATTCTAATAATGCCTTAGAGAACCTTGAAAATGATAATAATTTAAATGATAGTAAAGATAGGGATTTAAAAGAATCGCAAAAACGTAAGCGAATTCCATTTTCTAGATATGGTAATCCAGTTTCACATTTTATATATGTTAATTATATTGATGCAAATGCATTTGAGGAGGCGATGAACTCCAATGATTGTAAACAATGGCAACAGGCAATGGAATGTGAAATAAATAGCTTAAATGAAAACAATACTTGGCAAGTTGTAGATAAGCCAAAAAATAAAAAGGTTATTGATGTTAAGTGGGTTTTTAAAAGGAAAGAAAATAATAATTATAAAGCTAGATTAGTTGTAACAGGATTTCAACAAAATGAATGTGTTGAAAATGTTTACTCACCAGTAGGGAAAATGCAAACATTGAAAATTTTATTGTCATACAGTTGTAAACATAATTTATTTATAGAACAGATGGATGTTGAAACAGCTTTTTTAAATGCTGATATAAAATCAGAAGTATATATAAATTAACCGGAAGGTTATGAATTAGGTGATAATAAAGTTTACAAATTGCAAAAGGCGCAAAAAATATGGTCTTAAAGAAAGCCCTAGAGTATGGTATGAGTGTTTTGATAAATTTATTATAACATTAAATTTTGTTAGGAGTAACTATGATTATTGTTTATATGTTAACAGAGCAAGCAAAGATCCAATATACATATTACTATTTGTTGATGATTTTTTAATTTGTTCTAAAGATAAAAACAAAATTAAAGATGTTAAAACTAATTTAATGATAAGATTTGCAATGAAGGATTTAGGAAAAATTAAAAGCTATGTTGGCATAGATAGTGATGATAAATGTACAATGTCTCTAAGCCAAACTAAATATATTGAATCTTTGGCTGCAAAATATGATCTAAAAAATACTAAGTTGTATGATACTCCAATGGAGGCAAATTTGAAATTAGAACAAGCTAGTGAAGTAGATGAAAGAATTAAGTACAGAAATTTAATAGGTGAATTATTGTATATTAGTACAGGTACAAGACCAGATGTAGCTTACAGTGTTAATTATTTGAGTAGATACCAAAGTTGTTATAACCAAACACATTACAAATATACAATGAGAATCTTAAAATATTTGTATAAAACTAAGGATCTAAAGTTAACATACTATGATTATGTGGATACTGATTTATTAGATTGTATGGTAGATTCTGATTATGCAGGAGATAATGTGGATAGAAAATCCACAATTGGTTTTGTAATTAGATTGTTTGGGAATTTAATTTTTTGGAAAACACGTAAACAAAATAAAGTAACTAAATGTTCCACTTTTGCAGAATATACTGCTATGTCAGAGGCAGTGACAGAAATACTTTTTATTAGAAATTTGCTAAGTGAATCGTTTGATATAAAGTTTTTTAATCCTATAAAATTATATGAAGATAACTCAGGTGCAATAGCAATCGCTAAGCATGGTAATTTTACAAAAAATTCAATGCACATAGAAGTGCAATATCATTATATAAATGAGAACTCATCATCACCAGCTCACTATACGTCCCCACCGAGGGGCTCGGAGCCTACCCTAAGTAAGGGTGACTAGGCCATAGTCAACCACGCTGGCCAAGTGCGGGTTGGTTGACTTCACACATATCTTTGAATTTCTTCGCCGATATGTGCAGGTTGCATCACGATGTTTTCCTTCACCGTAAGAACGTCGGGTAAATTATGTACATATGAAAATTCGAAAATCGAAAATCACATTGGAACATGGCGGGATTCGAACCCAAGACCTCTAGATTACAGGTCAAGTGCTTAAACCACTGAGCCACCGACAAACTAAATGAGAACTATGAAAAGAAAATTATTGATATTGTAAAAATTGATTCAAAATTTAACTTGGCAGACATGCTAACTAAAAGTCTAGATAAAATAAAATTTATAAAAAACAGATTGGAATTAAGATTAATTTAGTTATGTAAAAGTTTTTAGTTTCAAGATTATATAAGTAAACAAATAAAGATTGTATGGAAAAGTTATAGATTTAAGGAATATTTAGAGGATTGATTTAGTTATGTAAAAGGTTTTAATTTAAGGTATATACATAAAGATTGTAAGGTAAATGTTCGCGAGCGCCTGCCATATTTTTCACAGCAACGGCTTAATTTCGCATTACCGTCTCGGAACATGATTTTTGTTAATTACTATTGAAAATCTGTAACTGACGTAGTAAACGCATCCCTCTTGGCACAAAATCGGTTTTATTTGATTTCTCCGAATTATCGACCAAATATTTACAGTAAAGGTTATAAATTTAAAGAGATTTGTTGTAATAAGATTATAAATTTAAGGAGGCGTGTTGTAATTGGGTAAATTCATAATCTATGATATAAAAGTTTTTGTTTTTTTTTTAATCTACAATCGTTCATTCCATCTGTCACTCTGCCAAGTAATATACAGTGTTCAAGTCCTCGATTGATTTTTATTTTGTCCCTATTATTATTCAATAATTATCAACAATACTTTAAGGTTGACGTTAGAAACGTCAATGTCATGTCATATCTGTCAAGTTTCTTGTTACCACGATTTTCTAAAATACATACGTTTTCCTCGATAACTGCGTTTTATTCTAAATAAATGAAAAGAGAAAATATTACATTGGCGACGAGAGAATCTACGCTAAATGTCTACAGGTGATAAAACGTCGGCCAGCGCACGCGCTGTTTCAG